TGCCTGGCTTATTTCACTTAGCATGATACCCTCTAGGTCCATCCATGATGTTGTAAATGGCAGGATTTCTTTCTTTTTATGGCTGAATAATATTCCCTTGTGTATATGTATTACCGCTTCTTTATCCATTCATGTACATTGATGGACATTTTGGTTGCTTCCATATCTTGGCTATTGTAAATAATGTGGCAATAAACAGAGAGGTGTATATATCTTTTCAAATCAGGGATTATGTTTTCTTTAGGTAACTTTCTAGAAGTGGGATTATGGGGTTGTGTTGTATTTCTATTTTTAGTTTTTTTGGAGGAAACTCCACACTGCTTTCCACAGTGGCTGTTCTAATTTACATTCCCCAAAAAAGTGTAGGAAAGTTCCCTTTTCTCTACATCCCTGCCAACACTTATTATTTCTTGCCTTTTGAATAGTGGCCAACCTGATTGGTGTGAGGTGATATCTTATTGTGGTTTTGATTAGCATTTCCCTGATAATTAGCCATGTGAAGCATTTTGTCCTGTGCCTATTGGCCATATACATTTGTTCTTTGGAAAAATGTCTCTTCAGGTCCTCTGCCCAGGTTTTAATTGGGTTACTTGTTTTTTTGATGTTGAGGAGTATGAGTTCTTGATATATTTTGAATGCTAACCCCTTACTGGATAAATTGTTTACAAATACATTCTCCCATACTGTAGGTTGCCCTTTTGTTCTGTTGATGGTGTGCTGTACAAAGGCTTTTTAATTTGATGTAGTCCACTTGTTCATTTTTATTTTTTGTTTCCCTTGCCTGAGGATATGTGTCCAGGAAAAAATTGCTTGTGCTTATGTTGAGATTTTTGCCTGTTTTCTTCAAAGAGTTTTATGGTTTCATGTCTTAGATATAGGTCTTTAATCCATTTTGAGTTTACTTTTGTGTATGGAGTTAGTAGTCCAGTTTCATTCTCTTGCATGTACTTTTCCAGTTTTCCCGACACCATTTATTGAAGAGACTGTCTTTTCCCCATTATATATTCTTGCCTCCTTTGTCATATGTTAATTGGCCATGTATGTGTAGGTTATTTCTGGGCTATTTTGTATCACTGACCCGTGTGTCTGTTCTTGTGCCAGTACCATACTTTTTTTATTACTGTATCTTTGTAGTATAGCTTGAAGTCAGAGAACGTGATACCCCCAACTTTGTTCTTCTTTCTCTAGATAGCTTAGGCTATTCAGAGTCTTCCATGGTTCCATATAACTTTTAGGATTATTTGCTCTAGTTCATTGAAAAATATCATTGGTATTTTGGTAGGGATTACATTGAATCTCTAAATTACCACAAAGCCTATTTTATAACAAAGTATTAAATCGTTTATGTAATTTATCAAGTACTGTACTAGAAGTGAAGAAGAGAATGGTTGTGTAGGTATGAAATCATTTTAAGTATATCAGTTGGTTATCCTTGTAATCACATGGCTGACTGGGAGTTGTAGCTTGCTGCTGCTGCTGATCAGCATCACGAGACAGGATTGTAGTGTATGGTGTTAGTCCAGGAAAAGATAAAAATTCAAAATTTAAAGGATGGTTTCTACTGAATTGGTATGGCTTTTGTACTATAATAAAGTTGAAAAATTCTGAATTGAGCCATCATAAGTCAGGGATTTTCTGTACTCCTTTGCCATGGCAAAGTTTCATATTCAATTAAACTAGTATTTTTTTGAGATGAAATACCTGGTGTTTGTATGTTGGTTGGTCAGTGTGATTCAGACTTGATGTTATTTTTATTGCAGCAGAAGAAACATTTTCTGCTAATTAAAAGAAAAATCCAGCACCACAGTTTTTATGTGAACTATATGTAAACAAGTATAATAGGTACAGAACAGAAAAATGACCACACACATACAAGCTGGCCTACACATTTAAAGAATGTAAGTTATGGTATAGTGTAAATTTATTTCTCTTAATTTGAACCCCCACGGGACTAATGGAATTTTAGATTTTAGAAGTTTAGCTTTGTTTTATTACTACATTTCATTCCAACTGCATCTGTTATGCCACTCATATCTTCTCAAAATACATATGTGCTCCTCAAATTTAAGGAAAATATAGTAACAGCCTTATATCAGTGCCTAAATTTTCAGTTTAAAAATATTGATCTCCAGCTTATTTTCTTAAACATGTATCTTTCAGTTAAGTGAAAATGTTGTTTAGGTGTCACTGAATTTTTACAATTAAACAATTTGAATGTCATGCTGATTTGTAAGAAGATTCATTTAAATGATAATATTCCATAAATTCAGATATACTTACACATGCCTAATTAACATTGGAAGCACCAATGAGATTACAGACCTGTTGACTTCACCCTGAACAGAAGAGGCTAAGAAGTCATTTATGTGTTATTCTCAGCTTCTCTGTTTCCTATGCAGAGGAGAAAAGGGAATATATTGGAGATTGTTGAAAAGACATCATTTAACCTGGGAGAGCAGAAAAATTTCCAGTCTTTATTGGGAATTTAAATGCCAGATACAACTCCTGTGTTGGTCCATGCCCAAAGTTCTCTATGAATGCTCTTCTTTATTAACAAAGTATTATGGTACAGAAACTCTCCAGTATCCAATAAGCTTTCTCTTAACTCACCTCATATAGATAAGTATGACAAGAAAAGTACACGATCAGAATATTACAAAAAATATATACACTAAAATGTGCATATGCTCCATTTATCTATTATCATAACTTTGTTTAAAATATTTCAGTAATTTTAATAGCAGCTGAATGGTGTGGACTTTTTCTACTTTTCTAACTTTATCTGGTACTGTGTTCCCTTTTATTTTCCTTAAGTTTTACTACCTTTTTTCAACTTCTGGAACACACTGAAACTCCCCACCCCCTTTCCTCTAGGCCTTTGCCTATGTTTTCTCCTTCAGAAAAGCTCTTTGACCACCGTACAACTCTGCCTAGTTTAACTCTATTCATCTTCCAGTTAATTGTTACATTTTCAGTCATACCTTTCCTATACTTGGGCCTTCCAAATTTGGTTAAACCTTCCCCCAATATCTGTCTTCTCTGTAATTCTTATTCAGTTGTAGCTTATATTTATATGTATGATTATTTCAGTAAAGTGTCTCCCCACTTTAGATTGCAAAACGCATGAGAAAAGGGAACTCTGCTCTTTCTTGTCAAGGTATTAGTATCCATAGCTCTTGACAGAGTACCTGGCACATTGCTTCAGGAAATGTTTTTTTAATTAAAAATGAATGAAATGAGTAAATAAATACATATTATACTTGTTTTGGGCATCTCATTCCCATATGTATTAACACATACTTTAGTTGAGCTTGTGCTTGGGAAGAGATTTTATGATCCTCTCTGGGAACCTGCTTTTGCATTTTAATGTTTCTGCATTAAGAAGTTCATTTTTACCAAGATGAAATTCCTACTGCTGAAATTTAAAAAAGGAAAATTAATTTTAAAAGTTAAAAAAAATTTAGATTCAAAATTTTTAAAAAATGTTAATAATTAAAATTATGAAAGAAAAACTCCAGTAGCAAAACAATAGCTGGTCCCTATCCTTGATACAGTTTGTTCCCTTATCAGTGGAATACATCATTTAACATCATCTCACTATCTCATTTTCTTTGAATTTTGATTTTGGGCCACCTTCCAGCACAGTGAATCTTTAAGGGCTATGGGATATATTGACAGTTTGTTTATTTATCTATCTGTGTCTTGAATTGGCATTAAGAATTCGAAGGTAATCCTAAATGTCATAGCTTCTCTGCTGACGTTAGTTACCTTGTGGGAATCCTATACTAGCAAATGCTAGCCAGCATCCCTTTCTCCATGGGCCACTCAGAAAATAGGCTATTCCTAATTAAAATATTTTTAGTTTCTCTGATTGCTCTGGTGCTTTCTCAGCAGGAATGAGGGTAGTTTCATAAGGAGATTGGAAGTCTCTTCCACACATACAAAAATTGGCAATCTTTTTCCCCTTTGACAGCTGGTGGCATCTTTCTGAAAAGCTTTCAAATCATAGATCATTTCTTCATAATGAAACCTGTGTGGTTCAAATACAGTGGGCTGAAATTCTTATCTTATGCTGCAGTAAAATGCTCTAATTTAGAGTCACAAAAGAATTCTGTACCCTTCACTTAGGAGAGCTGTGCAATTTGCTCATAAAAAGACTGTTCAACACCATTAGTGCATACCGTAAGTGTTCAGCAACATCATATTTATTAAACAGCACATCCTTATGCATAACCTTTTCAACCTCAAATATGTTTTTCCCTTGGGAGAATGACAAATGATAAAGGGGTGAGGGAGCCCCAAGCAATTCTGTTGCCTTTAAGGGTATGAACTTGGGAACTTTAGCTTGATTCCCTCATAGGAAAAAAAAACCCACCTCAGATTCAACCCTTTCTTACCTGAAGCAAGGCAGTTCCTTTTTTTCCTCTCTTTCTGCAGAGCTCATTCCATGGCCGAGAGAGTGACCTCTGACTTCTGAGCTTCAGAGACAGATCTTTGCACATAGAAAAACTTCATGAGGGCAATGATCAGAAAATTCTGTAAATAACTTTATTAAGCACCTACTATGTCCTACATCCTGTGTTAGTCATTGAGGGTAGAGGTGATTATAAAATATTAATACAACCCTTAGTTTCTAATCTTTGTACTAAATATCATAGGTTTCCTAGCTTGATCAGATAGATTTGGGGCAGAAGTGGGGGGAGGAAGTGTGGTAAAAGGGAGAGAATGAGGTTCTGCTGTTTTTTACTGTTTGTTTAAAAAAAACAGAGGGGAGAATGAGTGGGAATTTTTCTGGTGACAATACTTTTTCCTGGCTAATGACTAACCCTAGGGTTCATTCCATTGATACAGTAGTGTTCCTGTATTTACAATGACCTCCAGTTACTATCGGTAGTTCCTTTCTACACCCCCATCATTTCCCCAAGGGTACATCCCCACCCTTTCCCCAATCATTGAAACTTTTCTCAAACTTGTGAGTTATCTTCTTGCTTCCATTTTAGGTACACCTGAGAGCCTGGCGGAAAAAGAACGGCAGCTCTCTACCATGATTACCCAGCTGATCAGTTTACGGGAGCAGCTCCTGGCAGCCCATGACGAGCAGAAAAAACTGGCAGCTTCACAAATTGAGAAACAACGGCAGCAAATGGACCTTGCTCGCCAACAGCAAGAACAGGTGAGCCCTTCACAAGGAGCTGATGAACTGGAGATGTAGAATGTGACAAACTCAGCGAGTAATCACATTGATTGGTTTATTTGTCATAAGTGCTCCTAAAAAAAAAAGAGAGAAGAAAAGAAAAGAAAGAAAAAATTCTTTAGGAAATACAGTGTCTTCAAGAATACTGTGGGGATATGTGGAGAACAAAGGCGTCATAGCAACTAGGCGTAACTGAAATGACAACGCTGTTACAGAACATTTAGATTTGAGTAATTCCTCCAGGATACTTATTCACAAAGGCATCACATGCATTCCCAGTGTAGCTTAACCATGAGTAAGTTGCTTCTCTCTGGGCCTTACTTTTCTCATCCAGAAAAAGAGTACCCTAGTCTAGAAAGACGTTGAGGATCTTTCAGCTCACTGGTCCAGTGATTTTCTCTAACTTTAAAGCTAGGATGACCAGAGGTCTCAGTTTTCTCAGAATAGCTCCAGTTAATACCTGTTTTCCAGAGTAATTATTAATAACCACCCTTTCCACTCAGAAACTTGTCTTGCTTTGGATGATAAATTATATGGTCATTCTATTTATAGTAGAGGTAAATCATTGAAAACAAATTAGCACATGGATACTATAAGAATTTGACTTCATTGATTTAGAAGTGAGGAAAAAAATAGCAAAGTTTAATGTATCTTTTTAAAAAAAATCACTTTGCCAAATGTTTTCCTGTCTCAAAAGAGAGCATTAATCTAACAACAATGATCCTATAGAGTAGTCCCTGATGCTTTAGATCAGACAAATCCAAATTAATGGGCAGTTTTTAGGAATCTGACATTATTACTGGAATTATCTTTTCAGTTAAACGTATTTTATAGAGGTATATAGAGCAATATATGCTCTGTTGATTTTAATGAGTTGTGACGTCTGGTGTTTTATATGCTTGAATATTTGCCCACATGTAGGAATATGGACTCAGCCCCTAATGGAAAATAACATAAAGGAACACTGTAAAAAATCAGAAGTTAGAATGTCATTTAGCCATCCAGAGATGACACAGTAATTAACTATTGACACTTGTGAATAAGCTAGCACAAATTAATCTTGACACATTTGCAGACGAGTGATATCTTACAGTGAACACTTTGTAATTATATTTCAAAATGAAAATTAAATGACACTTAAAACTAGGTTGTCATGCTCAATGAAGCGAGCATGTAGCTCAACCGATTGGCAAATAAAAATCAGAATTTGAGCCACATGGTGCTTATGTACCATACTTTACTGTGTCAAACCCATACATCTAGAGTGGTTGATAGTAATTGCACTGTGGTGTTTTGGATGCATTTCTATGCAGCACTTTATCATTTAGGAGGAACCATCAATATTAGATGCCTAGTGGTGTTTCACTGGTTTGCTAAGAGGAAATAAATATTCAGAGAATTCAGCTTAAAGAGAAACCTAGAGTTGCAGAGTGAATTGTCCACTGGTTTTGCAAGCTGAGTGGGCCTTTCCCACCTGATTAATTTCTGTTTCCATTTTGCTTATAAAGTTTGGGGGAGGCATGGTCCATTTCTCAAATGGTAGCCTATGTTAGGGTAGCTTTATCATGACCTCTAGTATGAGCCAGTCAGCACCAGAAACCGTAAGGCAATATTTGGGAGCATCCTGCTCTTTTGTCATCTGCTGAATGAAATGTGATTTGGGTGTTTCCCTCTGATCTAAGCTAAAGCATCAAAAAGATTCAGGAAGTATACTTTTGGAGGCTAATCCATACTCATTTCCACTTCCAGCATTGCCCATTCTAGAACACTGGCTTTTGCAAATAGAAGAAATAGGAAGCAAAAAAACTCATAAGTCTTGCCTAAAGGACACCATTAACCAAGTCTCTCTAAGTGCTCTCTGGCCACTTTTCTCTCTGCTTTCTAGGCTGGGAATGAGTGTATTCTCACTAAGGGGCATCACCCTGGGCTTTAAGCTGTAGCAGCTCAGCTTTTCAGGCAATAAGCAGCCTGATGTCTGACTAATGTTTTATAGCAAACACCATTATCCTGAAGAATTTGTTTGCTCTCCTGAGGGGCAGATTCAGTCCTCAATAGGTCTTGCGTTAAGTGTTTAATATTTCTTTTTATAGACTAGATGATGTTGTTAACATGTTAAATTTGATTGTTGGGTGAAGCAAGGGAATATAAAACTTCTATGTGGATTCTGAACTGTAAAATTAACACATTACCCTCAAAAAGATAAGTGGATAAATATTAAATTTTGTTTGTTTTTAAAAATGCTTTATGCATCACATATGACATAAAAAAGAAAGATTTTTAACTTTTTGCTGTGGTATTTTGGCACTCCCTTAACAGTATCTGTAAGTGTTAATCAGTTCTGAAAGTCTTTACATCAGAAAAGGTTTCAACCAAAGTGGACCGTAAGTAATAGAGAGTTCTTTCCTGTCTCTGCTTAGATTTTACTTTTTACATCCCAATTAAGCTCTTGGGGAGAAGGACATAGCCAGAGTTTTCTTGTCGTTATTCCCCAAGGGCAGATTCCCCAAACTCCCATTGTTTCCAGATGCCCAGTGCAGGTGTAGATGGATTGCTCACACATGTAATACAAGGAGCAGTTTTTGCCTACAGATAATGATTCAGAGGTAAGCAGAGATGGCACCTATTTGAAATTTTTCTTTTTCTCCAACTTTTGGAGCCTGCCTTTTACGGGAACTCTTTCACAGAAGTGTAGCAAGGTGCTCTTGTAACGCCAGGAGAGATGCCTGAGGTAATGGCAGAGGTGTAAGCCTTTCATTTTAACTTAATGAAACTTTGTTTCCGATAGATTGCAAGACAACAGCAGCAACTTCTTCAACAGCAGCACAAAATCAATCTCCTGCAGCAGCAGATCCAGGTCGGTGTGTTTTATTACTCTCGCCTGAGTATGCTCAGATACCTTCCTCCCTGAAAACGGAATTTAAGACGCTGCGAATGCACCCCTCTCTTATAAACAACACCAACAGGGCTGTCGTTCAAGGACGTTGTATGCAATCGTGTAAGTGGATGTAGGAAGTACCGACCAGGTGGTGATCGGAACATTGTTTCCTGGCGGGACGTGTAAGCAGAGAAAACTTTATCTTTTTTTCCTTCTGCCATTTATTTAACACAACCTAGTGGGACCTAGGAGATTCAATAGTAGCATACACAGGCTATCTTTATTGCCACAAACCATTTTCTGCTCTGTGTTTTACTATTTAATAGTATCACGGGGAGAAGCTTATCTCTACTTGCTTGTTAGGACTATCTGACTGGGCCAGTTACGAGAAGAATCTTGTGACCTGGGAGAAGGCTGGTGGTAATTAATTTGTTCTTTAACAAATATTAACTACATTTCTGCTAGGCGCTGAAGGGAATAGAAAGACTGATGAGTAATTGTCTTCAGGGAGCTAATAGTCTAGAAAGGAATAACAACTTGCTTCTGAATAATTGTAACGCAATTTAGAAATTCCCTTTTATGTTGTGACAGGGCAACAATATACAGATCATAATTACAGTGGTCTAGGAAAGAATTCTGATATCTGTTATCCCTTTAGATACTTGATGGTTAATTCAACTAACAGCTGTTTGAGTTAGTAATGGGAATTGGTCTCCATGTTTTGATAGAAATATAGGAATATGATTTCTAGAAAGCCATAGAATAAGGAACTGGTTGTCTGGTGATAAATCCTCAGGAATAATGCTCCCAGAGTTATTTGTACCCACCACAGCCTCTGTGGTTTCTCTTGGTTGCTGTGGATATTTTCTAACCTCTGGGATCAACCTAGTTGGGGCAGTATATGCTAATAAATTATTTTATTCCTTTCCTTGAGGTTAATACTACACCTTCCTGTATTTCTAAAAAATCGATCACTTGAAGTTGTAGCCCACTCTAATCTCCTATCTCATTGATGAAGCTCGTGACTTTAACTTAGAGCCTTGCTTCATTTTGTTAATCACAGTTTTCCAGGTAGTAGTCATTGCATTTAAAATGCCAGCCTGGTGCCTAGAGAAGTACCTGTACCGAATTTGATTTGTCCAGCTTTCTTCACTAGGAGGTTTTAACCAGTGTTGTTGTTAATTAGTTCTGATTCTATATTCTGTACTCAAGTCTATATGTTTCAAAATAAGGAGTCCAAATATAGAGGAGAAGGAATGTCTTTGGCATTTTTGACAGCCTTTATGATTAAATCTTGGAATAATTTCTCATCTTGATATCTCTTTTATGACTCATGCTGAGATCCTTAATTAAATAACTGTCCAGGTGGTCCCTTGTTCTGCCCTTATTAGAATTTTCAGTGTGTCTCCTACTGCTAAGGTCAAGATTTTTAGCCTGTGGCTTCCTATGTATTTCTCTAGATTCCTTCTAAGAACTCAGGAGGTGTTAAATAACCTGATCATCTGATTCTCTCTGTTTCTGCTATTCGCAGAGCAGGAATGGAGACATTCCCTGAGATGTTCCCATATCAGTTACTTGTTAATGTTTTTACTGCCTATTTATTATTTACTTCTTTGTTTATTTTGAATATATTTCACTTCTTAGTCCAATGTTGTTTGTATTAACTGGCTCTCATAATTGATGTTTGCCTGTGGTACTGAGAATCTCAGATGAATAGGAACCGAATCAGTTCAGAGTATTTTTATGGAGTATCACTAGTATTTTATTGATTATATATGATTTTATAGTTATAAATTGACTACACGAAACTGATATCTTTTTCAGGAAATTATAGAACATGATCTTAAAATATTATTCATCAGGATGTTCAATTTGAGAAGATAGGAAAATTGTTTTTTCAAGTTTCTAATGGAAGTTTAATTGTTTTTAAAATTTGTAGGTATTTCTCATTGTTTAAATTTTAAAAAGTTGAAGCTCATCAGCACTTGACATCAGCAGTATAAATTATAAAATCATAGATTCAAAGTGTCAGAGTTATATTCATTTTAGATATATAAGATTCCTTGTAACAGGAATTCATATTTTTAAAATTAAGAGGAAGCAATAACCTCTATTTACAGTTCGTTCTGTACTAAGCTACTGCTTCATTGCATATCTTGTCAGTATTTATCTTATCAGTATGAGACCATTCAAAGAATTTTTCAAATGCTGAAAAACACTCCTTACACAAAAACATCTTCATCTCTGACACTTAGAAAAAAGGTATTTGATATGCAGCCTTTTAGTTATTTTTTTGGAAAGGGAATGGATTAACTGTATTTTCAAATATGGTTTTTGACTAGCCATAGAAGTGATCAGATTTAGGGGAGAAATTATTGTTGGGATAATTTTAATATATTTTTTGAGCAAAATACAAGATGTAAGAAACACTCTAAACATTTTTCTATCATGAAAGAAGTATTCTCCCTTATGAAAACAAAACAGAACAAAGAGTAAAATAAGATGATTAATACAAAACCTAACTTCTCTTCTGAAAACAAATGAATAAATAAACAATCTGAGCAAGTTTGACCTTTTTTATTCTTTTTAAATCGAGCCTTAGAACCTACTAGCTAACATGGCCACCAAGATTCAGTCATGGCAATCAGATGGGGCATGAATATCAGGTGGTTACATTCAAGATTATTTTTTTAGTTGAGAATGCTGACTTCTGAGTTAGTGTTGTTGTTTTGGTATTTGCAAACTGTAATAGGAAGAAAGAGAAGAGTCTCTAACCTCTTGTAATAACCACGCACAAACACATCTGTGCCTATTATAATGGAAACAAATGAAAACCTGAATGGTTTGCACAAATTGAAAAGGATTTTTCACTAGAGATAGGAAAAGGCATGATTAAGGTAGTATTGTAAAAGTCCCCATGCCTATTTTATTTGCAATCATTCAAAAGTTTATATATGTAGTTAAAAATGGTTGCATTTATATATATTTTTCTTTCTTGAATATGATTTTTAACATAATTTTGCCTTGGTAAATCCTAACTAAATTTTTAAAAGATGCCTGTAAGATCATGTAAGCAATGTTGAAGAGGTAAGATAAACGATTTTGTAAACTAATGTTTTTATGTTTTTGATGAGTCAAATTCTACCATTTGAAAAATCATGTTAAAAACTTTAAATGTTATTATTAAAATGCTTTAATATGAACAGATGTTTTAGGAGGCTATTTGCTTAGTGAATTCAAATCCCTCTGTGCTTTGGGAAAAATGGTGATCCCTCTAATTTGTTACATACTGTTATTCCCCCAATATGAAGCCCAGAAAAGGTTAGATATTTTTGATATTTTCAGGACTGAAATAGCAGTTTTTATCAAGTCTACAGAAAGCAAAACTAATAGATCATGTAATATGAATCCTAGAGTTGGGAATGCTTCAGTAATTTCATCCTCCTTCTCCCACCCATTACACTATAGTATTTTAGCCAATCTTTTGAATCATTTTATTTATGAGTTATGTTGACTAATAAACAAAATTTACTTTTTATCCATTGGACATAGCAAAGCATATTTACAGTATTTTGATCAACTATTAAATATAAGTCTTGTCTAAGCAGAACAAAATATTTTTAAATCCTGATTTCTTGATCCAGCCTATTTATTTATTCATATTTACTCACCTGATCTTACTTGACTATGTCATGGCTTTTGAATCTAGAGAAGATATTATTCATGAACACAACATACCAAACTCACTGGTTTCAATAGCATGTCAGTAGGAACACATTTAATGATGGTATTTTGTTGTTAGAATTCAATCTTTATAAGAGACATTAGCTCATTAAAATATCTGTGAAAAACTTACTTTTCCAGGCATGAATGCTGTTATCTAATTATTAATGTCTCTTCAGTCCCCAGTTTTAGAGTTATTCAAGTGGCTTGTATTGTATACTATACTGCAGTGTCCTCACATCATTGACTGAACAGCAGTCTCTTAAGAGTAGACTGACTGATTGGGAATTTATTTGGGCATTTGGCTTCCTGGCCAATGGCCAGTAATTTAGTCAGTTGATACACATATACCTTTTTGGGCATAACTGTGAAACTTGAAATTCTTAGCTTTTTGTTAATCTTTATTATTACCAATCTTTATGATTAATATACAATATTGATTGCCTCCCACAATCGTCTAATACATGCAGTAGATGGCAAATTCAATCTGTGGAGGGCCTGAACCAAATGCAGTTGCTTTGCAGATGCTCTTTGTCTTATCTGAAAACTTCCCCTTTTAAATGCTATAATACATGCTGCTTAGTATGTGTCTTTTCACTAAAGCTTCACTCTGTTTTTAAGAGTACAGGAGTATTTTTCATATATAGGGTTTTATATTTGGACGATAATATCCCCTGTGTGCTCTTCATGTATTCTGTATGTTTCTGTGGGTTTATCCTGTGGTATGGCACCATGAAATGTATGTTCTCTTTTTTTCCTGCCTGGTAACCAGAAGAAATGTTAATATCATGTCAATATTATCAGCAAGGAGGTGATTGTTCTTACCATTAAACAGAATAATTTGAGATGTACTCTCACCTTTTAAGGAGATAAATCTTGACTTTTGTTTCCTTCAGTATGATTAACTACAGGCATTCAAGTATCTGCTGAGCAGAATAAGGACTACCTTTTTATGTGAACTAGTTGTCTAAAGATTAGAAATAATTACTTTGTACATTATCCTCCATGGCCTGCATGGCCTGGTTAATTAATTTTTTGCTAGGATAATAATAATAGATATATATATTTGAAGATATGCTTCATCATTAAGTATCTAATTGACCTCCAATTTTAAGAGCTGAACCTTGCATTTATTGTCTTTTGGAGATGGCTGAGCAGCCAACAGAGAGACTGAGGAAAGTCAGGAGCCTTCCAGTCTCACATAATCCTTCTGTCCTATGCTGTATATCTTTGGTAATTGTATTTAGCATTGATAA